TGGGCTACTGCTCTCATGGAAGACATTGAGTACAGTGGGCTACTGCTCTCATGGAAGACATTGAGTACAGTGGGCTACTGCTCTCATGGAAGACAATGAGTACAGTGGGCTACTGCTCTCATGAAAGGCAATAAGCACAGTGGGCTACTGCTCTCATGGAAGACATTGAGTACAGTGACCTAATGCTCTCATGGAAGACATTGAGTACAGTGGGCTAATTCCATTGGGCATGGGATCACCAGAAGTCAGAGGCCAACTCCAAGGCAGCTAACACCAACCACAGCAAAGACGTGTTTGAAAGGCTGTATAAAGTATTATGTAAAGCAAGAAATAGAATGATATAGAAAATACTGTGCAAGAGTCATTGCTGCATTCTCCTTGGGTTCCTGCATACCAAAAGCCAGAATGTCAGCCAGTTTTCAGCTTCAAGTGCACACAAATAAAATTTGACTGAGAAGAAGTCTTTCAGGCCACATTCCAAGGGCTTTTGGTTTGCTTGTTGAATCACCAATGCCTAATAACAAAATTGTCCACCGAGCAGCTGGCTTCTGTTGTGGCTGTAATAGAGCGGTTAGGGCTCAGTGACCTACCAAGGCGTCACACTATTTATATCACTTTTTATTTGAACATTATTTCCTTGGATAGCTTGTTTCTTTGGGAAGCCCTTTGGCAGCACTCACATTTTATCTGAAAACCAAAGAAACCAATCACTCTGGCTCATGGTGACACCATGTAAGCCAGCGCCAAACTGTGCTCTGCTGAGTTTTTGATGCCCGGTTTTTCAGAAGTATGTTGCTAGGCTTTCTTCTGAGGTCCATCTGGGTAAGCTCAGAAGGGAATGAGAACCTTTCATTAGCAGGTGAGCTAGCTTAACCATTTGTACCACTCAGGTACTCGGTAGTCATGTATACCTCAAATAGTATTCAAGAAAGATTGCCAAAGGCTCATCTATCTTTTGAGTAGAATGGGAAATTTTCCAGGGAACTTACAACTCACAGAACAAAAACAATCATTCATGTCCTATTCCAAATGGCTGGAAGTTACTAGGTACAATCAACACATGCTGAAATTGCACTGTGCACGGGAACTTACCCAAAGTGGAAGCTTTCCCACCAGAGAAGAGAGAAAGGAAAAGTGGCCCAAAGTGACCTTTGAAAGGTGATATTTTTTGCAATTCATTTTATTAAGAAGGCAACAAGCATGTTTTTATTTTAAAACTTGTTTAAAAAGCACTTTTTAGGAGCATTTTATTAGTGCATCAAGGGATTGTTCAGTTCACAAAAAGGGTAGATTTTAAATTCTTGGTTTAAAATACAGGCCATGTGGCAAGCACCAAACACTGAGAGACTCATGAGAATACTTCCTTTTTCTTTTTCTTTCACACACTGCAGTGAAGCAAGTACTTTAAAGAGTTTAATGACTTCAGCAAAATAACCCAATTAGAAATATTTTGGCATAATTTCAGAAATCCTTTGGCATGTCATCTTGATAATATGGGTTTTATTGTCCGTAAATTTACTAACCCATCAATATAATTTAATTGCCACTGAAGATATATCTGAGAGATTCTTTGAGTCTTATGCTTTTTTAAAGAGCTATCTATATAAGATCAACTTGACGGCAGTAAATCTAAAAGCTGTGACAAATTTAGGGAGCAGAGAAGTCGTATTAGTGGGGGGAGAACATTTTTAAGAAAGGAG